CTTTGTTTTAAATGGTGAAACTGTTCGGTAAGTTTGGCAATGAACATGAAAAGTTCCCCCTCACCTCCTGGCTCATCATCTTTATGTGTGCTAAGGTGGGCTCAGTCGGCACGAGGGAGCCCAGCCCTGCAAGCGTAGACGCTAAGCAAGAGCTAACTGAACGGGGCAAGACAACTTTATGGGTGCGGGAGAGAATGATATGTACATTTCTGGAGCTTTTAGCAGATACATTTGATTCTCAGTGAATAAGACAGCGAGGTGTTGAGGTCTTGCAGGTCCGTCTAGACCCCAGAGCCCGAGTCCTTGGACGTTGGTCCGGGCCCAAGTTCGACTATGATAAATCAGTCAGGAATAAAATGGAACCGACAGTTCAGTCCCATTGTATAATTTTTGATCCCGGGGCTCAAATAAATTAATCCGAGAAGACCTGTGATCAGCACTGATCACGAGGGACCACGAGTGCTTTGTGGGTATGCTGGACGATTAGCCTGACCAAGGATAAGATTTAAAGAACCAAAACAAGGCACAACAAATGTTGAGTAGCAGAGTAACATGGTTAAACACCAGTGGAATAAAAAGATAAATAAATGGTAAAGGGACTTGAGACTTGAGGTCACACCTCCACATTCACACCCTGATGGTAGAGGCTGCTCTGTAAAGTGACCATCAGAAATAACTTATCCCATTCATACACATTCATACGCGGCTGAAGAAGCAGTGGGAGCAACTCGAGGTTAAGTGTCTTGCCAAACGACACATCGGACATGTTGTAGCAGGAGCTGGGGATCGAACCCTCGACCTTCTGATTGAGAGACGACCGACTCTACCAACTAAGACACAGCAGCCGCCTTGACCTCAAAAGTAAAAACAAAAACAAAAAAACAGAGCGCCAGATAGCCCAGTGGTTATGTCGCGCACCCTTATGTCTAGAGGCTATACTGTAGTCCTTGCTGTGGGTTCGAATCAGACCTCAGGATGTCAGCCCCCGGGTCTCTCCTCCCAACAAACAACAACACTCTCTTCAGCTGTCCTTTCAAGGCAAAAAACACAAAATTAACTTTAGAAATGTAACGAAAAATAATATAATAATAATAATAATTAGCAGAATTTTTTTTAAAGAAAAGGTTATGAATACTCATGTCGTCCTTAGAATCTCTACACTTTTGTCTTCTGCTGTCGGGCGTTGTACACTAACGCAAGAACAAAACTAGTCTCACAATGACCGTTCAGTGATTACTGTCAAAGAGGTTTCAGGGGGAGACAAATGATCGTCAGAGTTTCTCAAACACTCCAGCTGAAAAACCACTTAAAACTGACTAAAGATATTTTAGGGGCAAATTAAAAAAATACTTCTCTGACAGAGGAGCATGTACATTATGTGGATTTCAAGATAGACAAATAAATCACATCAGGAATTCACTCTGTTTTGATAAAATGCGTTAATTTGAGGAGATACTATGCCTATGATACTATGCCTAACATGTGAGCAATTATTCCAATTAGCTTGATTTATAGAATAGAATAGATGTTTATTTCCATTTGCACAGGTACAGGACAGTACAGGTACATTGGAATTCTTGTGCCTTTCTCCCTGAGTCAGCTTCTACAAAAACATTAAAATTATATATAAAATAGAATAGCATTATAAGAAAAAAAGTACAAATAAATAAATAAGTTGTAGTAACAGCTAAGTAAATTAAAATAAACTGTACAGAAGCTATGCACTGTATTAAAGCAAAGATATAATACAAAAAAAATAACAAAGGGGAACACTGTACAATGAGATGAAATTATAAATATGTTTTCTTGTCTCTAAATTTTTGTTTCGTGTTTGCAATGATGGACGGCTTTTTTCCTCATCTTAGAATCCAGCCTTTCAAAGAGCTGAAGCACTGTCTGCCCGTGTTTAACAACCCTCTCTACAAACTCGCTCAATTCAAATCCCAACTTTCACTGTGTTATTCTTGACCCTGCTGTCAGTAGAAACTGGAATCAGTGGAGGTAACACCCTAGCTGAAAACTTTTCTTCTCAAAGTCTTTACATTTTCCAGAAGCTTTTGAAGTAGATTTGTCTCTAGCTTTCGTCTGTCGGCTCTGTGGAGTAAACACTCTCTCTCTCTGTGCACACTGTAGAAGACTAAAGGAGCAGGTTTGGACAAGAACAAACATCTGATGCCTCTGGGAACTGTCTGATGACCTGTACATGAATGCGACGAATCCTCTCACATTCTGAGAAGTTCTATTCATGACATGAAATTCATAACTAGTGCTCACGCCCAACTTGTGTGTTTGAGGGTTAGGTTATCATCGATAGCTCTGTGGTAGGTGCATACATCTTTTATTAAACTGACTTGTCCCCAAAAAGAAAAACAGATTTGACACAAACAGGAAGCATGTTTCTCAAGGCAGTCATGGTGTTCCTCTGAGCATCACACTTAAATGGTTAATTACTCAAGAAAAATCAATTTTTCATGTGACGATTCAGATGCTGCTGTGACCTGAAAATAGAAACAGAACTGGATGAAGCTGCAGTGTCTACGTCACCATGAGCCACCACAACTCCTGTGTGACTCCAAGTATTTATCACCAATAAACATTTGGCTACATATTCCTGGTTTTTATTGTACATATTTACAGCTCTGAAACCAATAAATACCCCCTGTAGCTCTGGAAGTCCCCACCTGAAGCTTACTGAACCATCTTTGAAATCACTTTTGAAAAAGGACACCATTTATTGCTGTTCACGTCATTGCCAACAGGTCATTTTTTCAACATTTTTCTTACATTTTGGACGCTTTGCAACAGCAATGGTGTCATTTGGAGCCCAGTGAGATGGGGAGTTGTGTTTTCCTATTGGGCTGATGACTTCAAAGTCCTCTAGAGAATGTAGGGAATAGGAAATTAATCTGTTATTTTGGGCACATCCTTAGTCCATTGTCAGGGATTTATTTTAACTTGCTAAAGATATTTCATGAACAATATACAACTTCAATTCTTATCTTTACAGTTCATCAACTGAACCCCAATGTTTTCATCTAAACCTTTCCAAGAAGTTCTGGTTCCTAAACCAAACCAAACTGTGGGTTACCCAACAAAACTACTCTGGCGTGTTTAGGAAGAGTCTGTGGATAAATAATATATTAACGTTGAACCTTCCTTAAGAAAAAGAACATTGACCTCCCGGAGAGAGCTTTGCACCAGAAAACTCTACAATTCACTTAGCAGACACTTTTATACAAAGCGACGTACATCAGAGAGTAAGAACAACACAAGCAAGGATCTAGAAAAAAGGGAACAATGTCAGCAAGTGCAAACAAACAGCTTCAAGTCTGATCAGATACAGGTGATGACAGGCAATGCAGAGAGGCAAAGCACAACATCGACAGCTGTTCTAAAGAATTCTAATCAGCTTTAAAACCATCCTAAATATTGTCATTATCAATCAAAACCATCGTCATCATCATCATAATCGTAATCAATATCATTACGTGCGTAGGTGTTCATAAAGAGCTGGGTCTTTAGCTTTTTCTTAAAGGTTCAAAGGGACTCTGCAGTTCGAATTGAATTTGGTAGTTTATTCCAGGGGGGCAACAGAGAAGAGTCTAGTTAGATACTTAGGACTTTGTTGTAAAGGTTGGATCAGACGTCTTTCATTGGCAGAGCGTAGTGGGCTTAAAGGAGGGTAGACCTGGTAGAGAGTGTTTAGGAAAGGAGGAGGAGCCGTTGTGGCGCTGTTTTGAATGCTACCAGACAAATGCTGTTGAAAGCTTTTATATCAAAGACACAGATAAACACTTCCAAGAAAGAAATATGTTCCTATGTATGAACTGGTTAAAGTCAAATGTTTTGTTCAAAGCTGTGCCTAGCCTGCATGCTTTAAAATGTAAGTATTAATTGTTTCAAATGGACGAATCTCCCTTGAAACAGCTGCGTGTTTGAAAGCTGTCCTAAAAAGTGAACATTTTTTTCTACTTTTTACATTCAATTCTATGTAGCCTAAAACACAATGTAAAAACACAGACTGAATGAGAGTGGACACTTCACACACATTCACTGTCCGTGCAATCTGTCAGGTGGATCGAGACAAGAATGTAATAATTATAAGTAATGTCCGTCCTCTCTGAGTGATCAATGGAGTTTAGTTTTCCATCACCAGGCAACTTAATGACATGATCTCGTATATAATATTATTCTATTAATGAGCAGTATCAGGTAAGAGTTGCATGTAATCTTCACACACCAGCTTCATTAGTAAAGAAAAAGTGCTGAATGAATATCTCTTGATATTTATTTCACAATGCAACTAGCCTGTTTAAATGCAGCAGGTTATTCATGAAGCTAACTAGCTTGTAGAATAATGTTGTATGACGCAGCATTTCATCTCATATTATGTGGCGGATGGTTAATTTGTCTTTATTTCTCCATCATCTAATCAGGTCGTTGTGGTACAAGATGTCTAATATGTAAAATCTAAATAATGTTAAAGTCGACTGATTGACGTTTTTAACTGGCCGTAGGAGTTTGTCTTTATATGTCCACCCAAAAATCTGAACATCAAGCATTGGCAATACAATTATTTTTGCTGATGAACAAAACAGACTTTAAAAAATCAGTTAACTCCATAGAAAACAAATCTATAAGACATATAAGTGAGCACAACAGACCAAAATGGACAAAACATTCAGCACAAGAGCATCTTGAAGGGCTCAAATTGGTGGAATTCAACAAGTCTAAGAGTTTATCAACACTGACTCTACTTTTATAACATTAACCAGTTATTGTATCTAATAACATGAAATGGGCCTTTATTCTACTATTGTATTTTGTTCTCTCAGTAATGCATTGAGCTCAGGACTACAGATGAGTGTCTTAACTTCTGTTGACCGCTGAATTCAAAGATTAGCCTTAAGACCTGACTTGTACTTAAACATAACAATCCAGATAAGGCTGTATCACCGCAATCCACTTTACTCTCAATCAGACACTCAGTAATCCTTCACCTGGAGAATCACACTTGGACCCGGTGCCATCGTCTCTGTTGGTTTGTTTCTGTTCTTCTCTTTGGGTTTGCCTCTCTGCTTTTCCTGCTTCATCAGCCCAAACAGTCATGGCAGAATGGTGGTTCTCCAGTGAGTCCAGTTCTGCTCAAGGTTTCTGCCTGTTTAAAGACAGTTAGTCTTTGCATTAGTTGCCACTTGTTTTTTCATGGTGTGTTCATTTTCTCAGTCTAACTGACAAAGCAAAGAATAGAGTCTAGACCGGCTGGTCTGACGTAACTTTTGTTATGGTTTTTAGGCTTTATAAATACAAATTGATTGTTGATTGAGCCCTGCCACCTAAATCCTACCCATCAAGCAGAGATAAAAACATACACAAAAACATTCACTACATAAATTATACAAAAAAAATAATTAAACTAAATAATGACCATATAAAACATGGCAATTTTGGGATGGGAATTAACCATAGACTGTATAAAACATGGACATGGTCTAAGTGACACCACCCATTGGTTTTGAACGCTCTTCTGAAGCCCATCGATGGCGAAATTCGACACTGCTCACAAATACATATATTGAAAATGCTAACACTGCTCACAAATAACAGTTTAAATAACAGTATTTCTGCTGTTTCAATGGACATCGTAATAGTGTATGGGACTTCCTGTTCTTTTCGAGCTGGCTTCAAGTGGACACTAGAGGAAATGCAGTTTAGTAGCACTTCTGGATTAGCTTCATTTTCAAAAACCGGGCGTAGCAGCTTGGAATGTACAAACAGAAAAACATCATCGAGGGATAGCCCTGCGTTGGCCTTTTGCACTAAGTATAAATAGTATTTAATTCTATTACTAAGATCTGATTGAACCTCTCTTAATTGTAGGATGAGAAGTTCCAAGAAACCTGACTGAGACAAAAGCAGGATGCATTCCAAACCAAAGCTAAATGCCTGCTTCCAAGGCTGTTTCTTAAAGCTGGATATCATTCCTAAAACTGAACTGAATTTATCTATTTAACCAACCGGTGCACTGTTTACAGAACGTAGAAAGAGCAACCTGGACAGAGATTTATCAGCTAGATTGTATTTAGATGCAGCTTCTTTGATAAAATGTGAGTGAATTAAAGTTCTGTAAAGCATTTACGTGCTTTTCCAGTAGTTACAGCATATTTTTCACATTACTGACCATGATGCAACACCACTGATCAACTTACTGATGGAACAACTGCTCCACAAATTCAGTTTCTTTTCCCCTTGTTTTTGTTATTTTTGCATCAACTGTCTCTCTCTAATAAACCTCTCTGTTTTGAAGATCTGAGTTCGTTTCTCTCTCACAGGGGCCGTAATTCAATAACTTTTCAGCAAAAAATTGCAACACACACACACACACACACACACACACACACACACGCAGACACGCAGACACACACACACACACACACGTACACACAGACACACGACAAACTGAACCCAGCAAATCATCACAAGGCCACATGATTTTTAGGTCAAATGGAAATGATTACGAAGAGCCTTGATGCCAAAACAGAAGAAATTTGATTATAGTTTTTACAAGAGATTTTAATGTTTACTTCAACTCCTTTCTCTCTCCATTACTTCAGCTTATGAGGCTCAACACCCATTAGATCAATATCCAGGCTTCAGACCCTCATCTCACGCTTCCATCAGCACATATACATCCTCATTTCTCTCCTCTCTCTCTATTCGCTTTAACTTTCATCCTCTTCTGAAGCCATGGAAGAGTATTATGTAATTCATAAACAAGTCCAACTACCTCCTTACTTCTCAGGATCAACACAATTTGCAGAACTTTGTCTGTTAATGCAGTTTTTAGTCTTTACTTACATGTCACCCAGAACTGAAAGAATAACCTCCCATATCCTATAATTGTCCCAAAATAGTCAACTTCTAACAGAGCTTATTCAGATATTTGTGTCAGTGCTTCCCTCATCAGTGTGTCCCTGTCCGTGTCCGGAATACCTGTGCTAATCATTTCTAGGAAACTGCTAGGTCAGTTGCCAAGATCCTTGTCTCACCTGTGCTTCACGCTCACTGAAGCTGCTAATCTGCCTCAAGCTTGTGTTGAAACTTGGAGCTTCTGCACTCAAAAATGCACATCATGCACACATATGACAGTCACAGATGACAGCAGAGTGCTGATCTGTGAGATGGAAGAGATGCACTATGTCTACATTTGCAAATGCATGTGACTTGCGTTCAGCAAGATGCAGGTAGAAGCTGCAGGATTCATGCGGATTACTAAGGATTCATGCGGATAATCAGCCTCCGCGTGCATGCATCTTAGCCATGTTTCCCCCCCCCGCATTGACGTACTGAACAGCTGCACTGACTGTGAGGTGATGCATGGCTGATGGACTTACGCAATAAAATGTTCATTTGGTGGGATTGTCTTCTCTTTCTTTTTGTGCGCATGCAAGTCCCTGCAACATCCCAGCCTTGCTTCTAATTTTACACTGTATGTACTGCCGCAGCAAGTGTAGTGTTTCACTTTCAGAATGAAACATCTCAGCACATGAGTCATTTAAACTAACACCAGTCTCAAAGCAGATCATAAAAACGACACAAATTACAGTATATAAGAAATTGTGTGCATGGGCAACAATGTTTTAATATCAGTAAACATGAATTTCAAATTGATGTCATTTGATCTGTGTGCATCATTGAACCCTTTCGTGTTGAGTCTGCATTTAATTGCATTTAAACCGTGCCAGAGGACCACACGCCCTAGCCGACGGGGAAGCCTGATGCAAAACATGTAAAACCTAAAGTCCATACTGATGTACTCTTAAAGCCAAAACTATGATCCTCTTCTTAACTTTATCAAGTATTTCTGCCCATCATGGGTTCCAGACTGGTTTATGCTGTAAACTAAGGACTCCATAAAAGTCCCTAGTTAAGGTGATTCAGTGATTCTATAGTTACATTTTCAGCAAAAAATGTATGAAATATACTTCAAAGTGAATAACATGACTTTGCAATGTGTGCAAACATACACAGAAATAAGTTGAGATCAACTTGAGTTGTTATAAATTAAGAAGTTGAGTGTCAACTTGTTAATATTTAACTTCATAACTACTTATCAACACAAATTCTTCACAAAATGTTTGAGACTCAGTAAGACCAGCTAAACTTCATAAATAGAGCTCTGGAGAGAGGGGGAGAGGGCGAGAGAGAGAGAGAGGAAGAGAGAGAGAGAGAGGGAGGAAGAGAAAAAGAGAGAGAGAGAGAGAGAGGGAGAGATTGAGGGAGAGGGAGATAGAAAGACAGCAAGTGTTTACATGTGCTCCAGTGTTCACCTGTGCAAATGTCAGCGGAGCCTGTGGCGATGTTAGTCAGATCATGTCGGGGTTTGTTCTGTTTGTGTGTGTGTGTGTGTGCGTGTACATGAGTGTGTTTCATGAGGAATGTTCACTTAAGAGGGGCCTCAGCCATGCTGGTTTTTGCAACAGAGAAAACATATGTGTAAGTTACGCATGTCTTTGTGAGCACGTGCATCACTTTAAATGGAAGTCAGGTTTGGATCAGACACGTTCTGCTCTGAGTGACAGAAACAACACTCCTGTCTGAAGAGTCTATCTTGCTAAATAAGTTCCAAGACTCTGTTATTGTGTTCTTTTGTTAGTGTGCATGTCAGAGGTTGTTCTTATTTGTGTGCATGGTGGATCAATAGAAACATAGACGGCACAGAGGTGCAGCTACAGCAGGCTCATGGCTTCAGGGCAGACGCAGACTTTTCATACTTGTACAATCAGATCACCATGTAGCTAATTAGATTTTCACATGAAGACACAGACATCATAGATGAGAACTCCCAGCACTTACTGAAGTGAGCAGGTGTGATCAATCCAAACTTATTTAAAATATTAACTTTTCACAAATATTCTCGTCAAGCTAGTAGAAAGTTGGCTTGAAACGGTAACAAAGCATAAAAGATAGAAGTTAAGATTCTCATTGAGCATCCTGTCATTAAGCATATATATAAGTGAAGATAATGTAACAGAAAACTCTGGGGAAAAAAAGCTTGTTTAGCGGGTAAGATGGTGTTTCTGATACATTTTGACATCTGCCCGTCACCACACACAACAATAGCACATGTATGGGACAGCTTGCACAGCACTGAACATACTATTGAAGTCATTTGAGTCCAAATCAGAGCAGCGGACATAAGACTAACATTCATTTCAAACTGGTGAGTTACAAAATCCATTGCCATCTGTGTACTGGCTGGTATAAACTTAAACACTCAAGATGAAAAAATGATTCTTACAACAAAAAAGTAAAATGTACATCCCGGTCCATCTGTGAGAAATAACGCACCCCTACTGGAGAAAAAAGCACCAGCTGATGAAACTCCTTCTTTTAAAGCTCAACACCTAAAATAGATAAACAGCTATAAATAGATTGTCAGCTTCTAAATCTAAACTTAAGCACAGCTGAAAACAGTCAACTGCGGTCAACAGTCAACACCTAGGCTTGTAGATAATAACTGTTGAATCAAGCAAATTCTCTAAATAGTGAGCTGTGTAAACAGGCAAAAGTCTGCCGTGTGACTAATCCAATGATTGGTTTGTGTGTAATTTTGTAAATATTAGACGAGCCAAACCGCAACCAATTCAAACCCAGCATCTGAAAATGTATATGAACCCTAAATGACAATATTTAGAGTTTGGACTGTAGATATTTTGTACACTATAAGATGCTCATGAGACCTCATAGTCAGGACCACTGTTGACTTGAGTTTCCAGTGGCTCCAGTAACGGGGTGAAGCACGGTCACGGTGGTACCTGCCTTGACCGGGTAGGTGCATGTGTTTGCTTGTGTGTTCATTTCAAGAGATTATTGGCACAGATGTAGTGCAACCTCATTGGGGTGTGGTGGTGTTAACATGTTGATGATTGACTCAATTACCGAAATACACATGCCTCAACTCCATTCTGGTGAACTACGTGAAGAGGAAAAGTGCATTTACTGGCAGTCAAGGAGTTGCATGTTAGCGCAAGATAGTCATCAGTCTGTATGATTAACAAAAAGTAATGATAATAGAGGCTCCGTCGATGTCTGGCAGCGAGGCGGCAGAAATTGAGCCAAGCAGTAAAAATCCACCAACATGGAGGAAAGATAATAAA